AAAAAAAAAAAAAAAAATGCAATTATATATATACCTGTAAAATATGCATTTTTGTTTTCTTCTGATACTTTTCTCACTTGCATATGTAAAAGTTTCCATCTGTGTTCCATCAGGCACTCATGTTTGTGATATAAAATTTCATTAGTTTTCTTCAAAGAGCAGGCATTTTTTCATTAATAATTCATCCTTTCCCATTCATATCTGTTAACATTACCAATCCTTACATATATCTTACATCATTTCAGCGATATCTTGTATCGTTTCTGGATTTCCTATTCTGTTGCATACATTTGTCTGTATTTTCAGCTGTTAGTATACAATTAATTATAGAAATTAATAACACATTTTAATATCTAGAGAAGCCAGTATTTTTTCAGTCCATTATAAAATTATTTAAAATGTCATCACAACAGTAAAAGACAGCAGATGTCGTGCAAAAATGTTAAAACCTTGATATTTTCATTCGGTTTATTTAACACTGATAAACAGAAAGAGCTCACATTTTGAGAAAAATGTGTCTTCTCATTCAAGAACACAAAACCCATCCCCCACTTCCAAGTTTACGTCTAAGACCCTTCAGTAAAGAATTGATCTATGTAAAACGGGCAGTTTTATCTGATAAATTTTCGCCTACTGAAAATTACTCCCAATATTTTTAATAGGGGAATGAGTTCTTTCAGTAGAGACCTCCTGTAATGTATAAAACACCATATTTTAAACGTGAACGTTAAAAATAACACTGTATACGCCTAACTTTGTGAGTTAAATCACTCACATTCTCCACCAAGTGCTCCAGCCGGGGAATCAGGGATAAAGCAGCTGGGGCTCATTTGGCTCTGCTGCTCCCGCCGGCGCCCTCCAAGGCCCGTCCCAGGGAGGAAGCAGGGCCTCGGGAACCCTCCCACCCCGGTCTGAGCCCCGTTACCTGTGTGGCTTGTCCCGGGTGTCCAAGTCTCCGCTCCTGCTCGCCAGGCAGCTCCACCTCCGCAGCATCGCCCCTGACAGCCGCCCTATGGATCTTCCGCGGTTCTGCATCCTGGATTCGGTGCCCCGAAGTGGTGTAGACGGGGTCTAGGGAGCTCAGGACCTAGGGTTCTGCTCTGCCTTGGCCCCTAGCTCCCAAAGCCCAAACTTCTTCAGGGTGGTGACTTCTTAGATCCCCAACAACTAGCTCCTGAGCCGCGGCTCCTCCCACCCCCACCTAGCGCCAACCCCTAATCCTCAATCCCAAATCTGCTTTCTAGCCCAGAATCTGCGATTCAGCTGGGTCCACCACTGCCTTCAGCAGCAACACTTGCAGCCTCCGACCTCTCAGACCACGTGAGCCCCGCAAAGCCATTGGGCGCGTGCCTGCGCCAGTGGACGCCCAGCTCCCGGAAGCTGCTCCCAGGTACGCGCAGGCAGGTGGGGCTGCAGCTCCAGGCAGGCATTGCTGGGTTCCGGGTTCTCCTGGGCTCTACTGGGCTGCTGGAGGACCACAGGTGGACATTTCATATCACAAACATGAGTTCCTGATGGTACATTATCAATCCTTACATATATTTCATATAATGGAGGAGGCCTGTCTGACCCTGAGGCCGCCCCACTCCTCCTCAAAGGGAGACCAGGTCTGGCACGAGCACTCCGTGGCACTGGAGCGGATTCGCGGATGGCCTGGCTTCAGCCCTGAGACACTGGCCCAGCGGTCTGCCTGGCAGATGTCAGGGAGCAGAAGACACATGGAAAGTCAGGGGCTGCTCCTTCCCCAACCAGCCCCCACTGCTGCCCATGCCGGATGCGCAGCTTGCAGGTGCAGCTCTGGTACTGGCACGGGATGGCGGAGCTTCCCTTGGGTGGCGTCAGGGTCGCCGAGTGTACAGCCCATCTGGCCTGAGGGTCCACTCCTCTTGGACACCTCTCTGGATCCTGAGCCCCTGTGCTGGGCACTCTGCTCCACACTGATGAGGCTGAGCGGCTGCTGGTGGGGCTGACCGCCTGACTTTGCCGCCTGGGTCACTAGCCTCAGGATTCCTGCTGCTGGGGTCATGGGCCTGGTCTGGGGTGTACTGCCACTTGCTGCTCCCATGCCACGTCTAGGCTGCAGGGGTGACTCAGGCGTCAGCGGTGAATGGGGGGCCGGGTATCTGATGTCCTCAGGGTCAAGTGCATTGCCCGCCCACCTGAGGGTCTGTTGTGCCTTGGCCTCCTCCAAGAGCGCAGGGGCCACAAGGAGGCAATTTAGGAATGCTTAAATTGAAGGAAATATTCTTTCTCTCTCTTTGAGAAATAAGTGGTGATTTTGTTTTGTTTGGTTTTTGACACTCAGCTACAGCACAAAACAAAGGTGATGAAGAGGTGAAGGTCCACAGCCAGTTCCTCTATCAATTACCTTCAGATACAAAAGCTCAACATAGCTGCTTTGGTTGTCACTTTCACCTCAACACTTACATATGCCTACAGATCTGTTCAATCAAAACTGTTGAATTTAGAATTATTTAATACACAATTATTTCATAATATTTTAATACCCAAGCTACTTTTAATAGTTTAACATCTCCGCAATCCTGAATTATTCATTTTTTCTTTGTTTATAAAACCGTTGCTATAGTAAGATCAAAATCACAAAACTCACATTTCACTGGGTTAAAAAAATTAAAATATATTATACATAAAAGATGATAAAGTGTATTTGTTTCAACATAAAAATTACGGGTTTGCCCTCGTCTCCTCCAAGATGGCGAGCGGCGGCAGCGGGGGGGGTTTCAGTGCCTGCGCTGTGGAGTGAAGTGAACCGGTATGGCCAGAACGGCGACTTCACGCGCGCGCTCTCAAGACCGTCAATAAGATATTACAGAGCAACAAAGATGATGTAACTGCCCTGCATTGTAAAGTGGTATGCCTTATCCAGAATGGAAGTTTCAAGGAAGCCTTGAATGTCATCAATACTCACACCAAAGTGTTAGCCAATAACTCTCTCTCTTTTGAAAAGGCATATTGCGAGTACTGGCTGAACAGAATTGAGAATGCCTTGAAGACAATAGAAAATTCCACCCAGCAGACAGACAAACTGAAGGAGCTTTATGGACAAATGTTATACCGTTTGGAACGCTATGATGAATGCTTAGCGGTATATAGAGATCTCGTCCGAAACTCCCAAGATGATTATGATGAGGAGAGGAAAACAAACCTTTCAGCAGTTGTTGCAGCTCAGAGCAATTGGGAAAAAGTGGTTCCAGAGAACTTGGGCTTCCAAGAAGGCACGCACGAGCTGTGCTACAACACTGCATGTGCACTGATAGGCCAAGGCCAGCTGCACCAAGCCATGAAAATCCTGCAAAAAGCTGAAGATCTTTGCCGCCGTTCATTATCAGAAGATGCTGATGGGACTGAGGAGGACCCACAGGCAGAAATGGCCATCATTCATGGTCAGATGGCCTATATTCTGCAGCTTCAGGGTCGAACAGAGGAGGCTTTGCAACTTTACAATCAAATAATAAAACTAAAACCAACAGATGTGGGATTACTAGCTGTAATTGCAAATAACATCATTACCATTAACAAGGACCAAAATGTCTTTGACTCCAGGAAGAAAGTGAAATTAACCAATGCAGAAGGAGTAGAGTTTAAGCTTTCCAAGAAACAACTACAAGCTATAGAGTTTAACAAAGCTTTACTTGCTATGTATACAAACCAGGCTGAACAATGCCGCAGAATATCTGCCAGTTTACAGTCCCAGAGTCCTGAGCATCTCTTACCTGTGTTAATCCAGGCTGCCCAGCTCTGCCGTGAAAAGCAGCACACAAAAGCAATCGAGCTACTTCAGGAATTTTCAGATCAGCATCCAGAAAATGCAGCTGAAATTAAGCTGACCATGGCACAGTTGAAAATTTCTCAAGGTAATATTTCTAAAGCATGTCTAATATTGAGAAGCATACAGGAGTTAAATCATAAACCAGGCATGGTATCTGCATTAGTGACCATGTATAGTCATGAAGAAGATATTGATAGTGCCATTGAGGTCTTCACACAAGCTATCCAGTGGTGTCAAAGCCATCAGCCCAAATCTGCTGCTCATTTGTCCTTGATAAGAGAAGCTGCAAACTTCAAACTCAAATATGGGCGGAAGAAGGAGGCAATTAGTGACCTAGAACAGCTATGGAAACAAAACCCAAAAGATATCCCCCCCCCTGCACAGCTTATTTCTGCTTACTCACTTGTAGATCCAGAGAAAGCCAAAGCTCTTGGTAAACACTTGCCATCGTCAGATAGTATGTCTCTCAAAGTAGATGTTGAGGCTCTTGAAAATTCTCCTGGTGCTACATACATTCGGAAGAAGGGTGGAAAAGTTACCGGAGATAGTCAACCAAAGGAACAAGGACAGGGAGATTTGAAAAAGAAGAAAAAGAAAAAGAAGGGAAAATTGCCTAAGAATTACGACCCAAAAGTTACCCCAGATCCAGAAAGATGGCTGCCAATGCGAGAACGTTCTTACTACCGGGGAAGAAAGAAGGGTAAAAAGAAGGATCAGATTGGAAAAGGGACCCAGGGAGCAACTGCAGGAGCTTCATCTGAACTGGATGCCAGTAAAACTGTGAGCAGCCCACCCACCTCCCCAAGACCTGGCAGTGCAGCAACAGTATCTGCCTCTACAAGTAACATCATACCCCCAAGACACCAGAAACCTGCAGGGGCTCCAGCAACAAAAAAGAAACAGCAACAGAAAAAGAAGAAAGGTGGAAAAGGTGGCTGGTGATGAGAATATTCTTGTTGCAGGCTGTTATTAAACTAGTCTCAGTGACACTAGGAATATAATAAAGGTAACACAGCAAGAAGCACAGAACTGCTCTCTCTTCATCTCCATATTTTCATAAATAATTTCTTGTGTTTCAAATAGGGAAACATCTTCCTCAAAGTCTGCCTGTTGGTTGCCTCATAGCTTTGTACAGGTTATGAGGACTGAAAATAACTGGGCATTTACCCATCTTGGTATCTGTTGTATCCTTTATCTGTGTGTGCTGATTTGATCTTTTTTCAGTTTCACAAACCTTATCTAAGGTTTCCCAGGATTTAAACAGAAACTACTTCTATTTCAGCTAGAGTCTGAAGATAATTGCTTCTGTTCAAGTCCCACTTTAAATTATGTCTTAGGAGGCCTTAGGAGACTGAAAGTGGAAGCTTCTGAGCATTCCAGAATATCTGCTTAGAAATATCATGTGATAAAGAGGGACCTTCTTAATACACTGATGTTCTTCGACTAATTAAATGAATGGCCACAAGAAAAATAAATGTCTTAAATAATTTAAAAAAAAAAATTACGGGTTTGCAAATTTTTTATATGTTTAGCTACATTCCTATGATTCTTTAACTTTGACCCTTCAAATCTTATGTCCTTACTTTTCAAAACCAATTATGCTTTCCCAACAGTCCCACAAGTCTTATTTCAACATTAACTCAAAAATCCACAGTCCATAGTCTCATCTGTGAAAAGGCAAGTCCCTTCCACCTATGAAGCTGTAAAATCAAAAGCAAGCTAGTTACTTCCTAGATACAATGGGGATACAGGCACTGGAAAAAAACAGGTGTTCCAAAGGAGAGAAATAAAGGGGTTACAGGTCCCATTCAAGACAGAAATCCAATAGGGCAGTCAAATTATAAAGTTCCAAAATAATCTTCTTTGACTCCAGGTCTCATATCCCTAACCCATAACCCCTAACTTTAAGACTAACCACAAACTCTAAGCCTAACCCTGTCCTAAACTCTAACACTGACCCTCTAACGCTAACTGCTAAACCCTAACCTTAAACATAGCCCTAGCCCTAACCCTAACCCTAATGCTAAGCCTTGCCATAGGGCTAACTCTAACCCTAACTCTAGCCCTAATCCTAACCCTAACACCTAAACCTAACCCTCACACTAACCGTAACCCTAAACCCGAAGCCCAACCCTAACACCTAACCCTAAACCAACCAACCCTATCCGCAACCCTAATCCTAACTTTAACCCCCAACCCTATTTCTAAACCTAACAACCTGAATCCTAACCCTAAAATCCTAGTACTTACCCTAACCACTGCCCTAAACCCTAACCCCAATTCCTACTCTAAACTGTAAACAACGCTAACCCTTAATCCTCCTAATCCCTAACCCTAACCTTACTTCAATTACCCTTAACTCTAAATCTAACCTAAGCTTAACCCTCAATCATGAACTCTGCTACTTTTACCCACTCTAACCCTTACCTTAAGCTAAACCTACTTTAACCTGTATATAACCCCAATCCAAAATCTCACTAAAACTTTCACCCTAACCCTTAACTGTAATTCTGACCTGTCAACCTAACCCTATTAGTCAGCCTAATCTCTCCCTCTAATCTCTACTATGGAGCTCTTAACCACCAACCTGAACCTTCTCTCTTGGAGCCCTTATACCATAATCTTTAACTGGCAAACTCTTAGCCTGTAAAGCCCTATGTCCTGATTGTGTAATACCCTTACACACTAACTCTGTAAATACTAAACGCAATCTATATCCAATCCCATCCTGATCCAACCTACACAGTGTCATGCCATTTCAAGAACTGAAATCTACATATCTATAACCTGAGAAATGCAGACTTAGTAATCCTCAACAAAATAATAGTAAATTTAAGCCAACAGCATTTGGAAAGGATCAAACATCATGAACATGATTTCTTTACGCCAGAAAAATCAACGCTGGTTCCACACACTAATGCCATCCACATAGCACACTGTATTATTAGAATGAATGGAAATAATTTTTTCAACTGATGCATAACGGGCTTCTAACAAAGTTCAACACCATGTCACGATAAAAAACACAAACCTAGAAATAGGACATTTCTTAAAAATGAAAAAAGCAATTTTGTAAAACCAACAGTAAACATCAATTGTCATCACTGAAAGGTTTATTCCTAATAGAATAACAAGGCACAGACACCTACTTTCACTTGTGTATTCAATAGTATATTGGAAAATACAGGTAGGGCAATTATGCAAGAAAATAAAATAACAACTATTTGAGGCTCAATTATCACCTGATCTCATACATATAAATTCCTAAGGAATGTTTAAAAAATTATTAGATAGTAAACAAATTGGGTAAACATACAAGCACAATACCAATACAAAAATCCATTTTATTATTATTATTCCTTTTTGAGATGGAGTTTTACTCTTATCACTCATGCTGGAGTACAATGGCATGATCTTGGCTCACTGCAACCTCCATCTCCCAGTTTCAAGCAATTCTTCTGCTTCAGGCTTCTAAGTAGCTGGGATTACAGGCATGTGCCACCACACCCAGATAATTTTTGTATTTATAGTAGAGATGGGTTTTGTCATGTTGCCCAGGCTGGTCTCATACTCCTGACCTCAAGTGATCTGCCTGCCTTGGCTTCCCAAAGTGCTGGGATTACAGGTGTGAGCCTGTAAAACTTTGCTTAAGGAAATTAAACAAAGCCCAAATAAATGTAAAAACATGTTACAGTCATGGATTTGGAGACGGTATTTGTCAAGTTTGTCAAACTACACAAAGCAAACTACGAATTCATTGTTATTCCTACAAAAATCCCAAAGGTCTTAGGACAGAAATGGGAAAGCTAATCCCCATGTTCATATAGAATTTTAATTCACCCCGAGTAGCCAAACCAATCCAGAAAAATGACACCAAATTTGGAGGCTCACACATCCCAATTTCAAATGTTATTACAAAGCAACAGTAATCAAAACAGCATCATACTGGCACAAGAATAAACAGGAAGAAGATCAACTGAATTGGATTGGAAGTCCAGACATAAAACAGTACCTCTATGCCCAAATGATTTTACACAAGATCCATAACCATTAAACTGGGGAAAGAATGCTGTTCTCAACAAGTGATGTAAGGCAACTTGCTATCCACATAAAGGGACATGAAATTATATCCTTACCTCATATTACATTAACAAGTTAACTTAAAATGGATCAAAGACCTAAAGATGGGAAGACTAAAATCTCTAGAAGAAAACACACAGTTAAACCGTCATGATGTTGGATGTAGCAATGGTTTCTCAGATCTGACACCAAAAGCACAAGCCACAAAAGGAAAACATAGGAAGATGATTTCCTCAAAATTAAAAACTTTTATGCCTCAGAAGACATGATGAAAAAAGTTGAAAGACAAATTTGTTATAAAAGGAAAAACAACTATCTTCTCCTAATACACTCTCAACACTCAACACAGAACACTTCTGTTACCAGATGCATGGACTTTTTTCCCACACAGATCAAATCCTGGGTACCAGCTGGGTGTCCTACAGTGCAATCCAATTCTGACACCACTGGGAGAAAGCATGAGACCCCACAGGCTAAGTGCTCAGTCCTAGGAAAACAGGTCATGCAGCTTGTTGCTTGCAACACGAGAGAATGCTAAACACGAGGATGATAATTTAAAAAGTGACTTTATGCCAGAGCTTAGCTGAAGGGAATGTATAGGCTCCTGACTTAAGAGAACAGCATCCACTTTCAGGGCAGAAAGAAGGAGCTTTGACGGGGGACTTGGCAGAATGGCATGAAGGGGATGGAGTGAGGTGGTGCAGGGTCTATGGGACTTGCTCTGATGTTTTATCCATTAGGTGGTCTTGCTAGTACCACCATGGGCAGAGCTAGGTTGTAAATGGACTGTTGTATCCTGGCAATCTCCTGGTAGGGGAGAGTTCCGGAGGTGTCTAGTTTGTTTCAAGTTTTGGTCCCTGGAACTTGTAAGTAAACATACAGTTTAAAAAGCTTTTAGTGCAGGAAGTGTCTGGTGGAGAGAAGGTAAAGCCTATAATTGCATTCCTAAAAAGCTAAGTAGGAAGTGTGAGAAAAGGAAAGAGGTAAAAGTAATACATTTCTTCAAGAAAGTAAGGGTACTCAGTTACAAGACTGTAACCACTTCAGATGCCAATCACAAACAGTAGATTTCCAGATTAATTTCTGTCGACTTGGCTAGAGATTGGAGGCTCCCACAACACCCTTATTTTGTTCAGCAATTTGCTACGGCACATTACAGAACCCATGAAAACAGAGTACTTACTATAGCTGACTTATTACCAAGGATATTTTAAAGGCTACAAATGAACAGCCAGATGAAGAGATGCACAGCGTGAGGTGTGTGGAAGGGGTGCGGGCCTCCCATGTCCTCTCCAGATATGATCTTCCCAGCATCTCCCCATGTTCAGCAACACAGATACTCTCCCAACCCCATCTTTTATTACATAGGCAGATTGGTTACAACAGCGCCTTTAGGTATTCAACTCAACCACCAGCACCTCTACCTTTCACAGAGATGGGAGGGAGGCTGAAATTTCAAATCCTCTAATGACAAGGTTGGTTTCTTTGGCAACCAGCCCCACTGAGGCTGTCCAGGTACCCCAAGCCATCAGTTATCTCATTAGCATATGAAAGAGACAATACTTCATACATTCCAAAGGCTTAGTGCTCTGCCTCAGGACACTGGGACAGAGACCACACATAAACTCTTATTATGTTCCACTAACCCACAGAATGGAAGAAAAAATCTGCACAGTAGATACTTCATAAGTGTCTGCTATCCAGAATGTATAAATAACTTTTACAACTCAACAACAAAGACAATCCAATCTAAAAACTAATGAAGAACTTTAATACACACTTCACAAGTGTAACATCATTAGTCATAATTAAAACCATAAAGACATACCCCTTAACTCACACTAGAGTAGTCATACTAAAAAAAAAAAAAAAGTGTTGACAAAGATGTGCAGAAACTTGAACTAAACACTGTGGTGACAATATGAAATGGTGCAGCATATGTGTAAAATAATTTGGAGTTTCTTCAAACAGTCACAAATAGATTTACCATATAACTCAGTGATTCCATTCCTAGGTATATACCCCAAAGACCTGAAAGCAGGTGTTCAAACAAAACTTGTATGCTCTTTAAATGTGTCAAGATCATAAATATGCAGAAAAGTCTTGGGAACAGTGACAGGAAAACTGGATCAGAATGAAAAAACACATTATACTCCCAGGTGGGGCAGGAGGTAAAAGTGAAATGAGTTTGTGAACTGAATTATCATGTAGGAACCATGCTGATTTTCTGATCTAGTGGTTATGTACCTGGGACAGTGTCCATGCTTTGGGTAAAATACACTGGAGTACTTTGTGGAATATTGCGAATCTGGCACAGCAATAACTGCTGGGGACTCTAAGAAAAGAAACAGGTTATATTTTGCACTGCTACTGGAAGCTTTCTAGAAGAATGACAGTATTAAAAAGTAAATT